GGAGATGTGCCCCCGGCGGTTCGGGGAGGCTGCCATGGTGCAGTGGCTGCGGTGCCCTGCGGGGAGGACACGCGGCCGTCAGAGCGGAGCCCGTGTGGGGCTTTGCCAGTCACAAAGACGTAGCTGTTCCCCCATCCTCACACTGATCCCCTAGGCATATCATGCATGAGGCTCTGCGTTTGTGTGTCTGTCTGTGTATGTGTATATGTAATGCACACACATATATTTATGCATATGTATGTGCACACATGTAAGTTTACACTTCTTAAGCATATATATTTTAAATAAGAACGCATTACTGCAATGGGAAAGGTAGGACTCATTTCTCCTTCTGAGGGCACCTGCTTTCGGGACTAGCTGCAAGGTGCTGCTCAAGGATGCTGCACCGCCTCCTGTGCTGGGGCTCAGCAGCTGCCCTGCCCCACACCAGCACTGGGGCTGGTGGAGGAGAAAAGCTCCAAGTCCTGCTCACAGCTGAGAGAGACTCTCCTGGGGTCATGTGTCCCTCAAGGGCACCACAGTAAGGATTGCAACACGAATATGTAACTACAATGTGTGTAAAAGCAAGATGTGGGTGGCAGAGGGGTGTATGTGCATATGAGCCCACGGGCCTGAGGGCAGCGGGGACAGCCCGTGGCAGCAGCGGGGCTGGTAGCCGCAGAGGAACACGCGGGTTAGGGGCTCGCGTTGCGCCCGCCCGCGCTGCAGCCCATGCGGCTGCCGCCACGGGGCAGCACAGGCCCATCGTGCTGCTGCGCTGTCCCGACAAGGACGGCGGGAGCCACCGCGTGTCCCCAGCAGGCACCGAGCCGTGACCTTGCTCTGGGGACGCGGAGGGTGGAGTATGGGGGATAACGCTGGGAATCCTCCCCCACTTCCCCAAACCTGGATCCTTAATGGGGATAAAAGACCCGTTCAACAGCATTACTAGGAGCCAAGAGCATCCAGCGGCGCCTCCAACTCCCTTGTCCTGCACAAGTGACCTGGAACCCATGGATGTGCTTTGGGGTGGGAGTGAGGGAAACCTGCTTAAATATTGCCTCCCCCTCCCCCCAGAAAGGGGTCTTGCAGAGATTTCTTGCTCCCCTGCAGGGCTGTGCATGGCTGGAGGACGCCAATGAGCCACCCTGTGATGGAGGAGACTGTAGTTTGTCCAGGCGTCCCGCCTGGTGTGAGGAGCGGGTGCTGCCCCAGGTGTTCCCCCTGCAAGTCCGATAGCAAAGGGGCCTGTTGGGACTGGCAGAAAAAGAAAACCCTCCCACGGGGCTCCTTCCCACAGCCCCCCGTCCCCGCTCCCGCCAACCCGCCATGCTGGGGGGCACCCCACAACGGCGCATCCCGCCTGGCGCCCCGGTGCCGCCTCACCTGAGCGCGCACGTGGCCCCACGCCGCGGCCTGGCCGCTCGCAGCCGCCAGGCAGGGCTGCCAGCGGGAAGGGGATCTCGGGAGCAGAGGCCGGCTCCGCCTCGAGGCAGCGCGGAGCGTCTCGCTCCTCCCCGGCTGGCCGTGGGGCAGGGAAGGCGGGTAGCAAAGTGCCCGGCGTCCACAGGCCGCAGCTGCCCACAGGGCTGCGAGCGGGGAGCAGAAGGGGCTCTGGAGGGGGTGTGCAAGGAGCGCGCAGCAGATTTTAGTGCTGCGGGGGCTGCGTCGCGCTCAGCTGTGAAGAGCCCGTGCGGGGGCCGTGTGGGAGCTGCATGGAGGCTGTGCCTGGCACAGGGGGGCTGCCTGCCGGG